TCTCTCTCTCTCTCTCTCTCTCTCTCTCTCTCTCTCTCTCTCCCTCTCTCCGTGCGTGTGTGCGTGCGTGCGTGCGTGCGTGCGTGCGTGCGTGCGTGCGTGCGTGCGTGCGTGTCTATTATACTCTATATATGTTATAGAGCAACTTTTAAACAAGCTTGAACATCGAAGCAGGGTCTCAAACGTCCGTTTTTAACAAATTACTAAATCTACGAAAGGAAATTCTTAACCTACATCTATAATACAGTAGGAAAATGCGTTCCAAGACAGTGTTTACAAGCCGCTTCTAAAAGCGTTCATCTGCCGAGATTTCACACGCCGATTCTGACCAAAATTGTGCATTATCACTCATAAAAACAACGTATTTTGTGGAACAGTTCTTACCTTTGTATCAAATGTTCTTTGCGACCTCTTGTCGACGCTCCTCTTTCATAATGTTTACCTTTAGTGAGTGTATGGTAGGTTTGTCATATGTCGCCATAGTGTATGAGTGTATCCCGGGTGTGCATCCGGGTACGCGGATAATCTTGCACCTCTACAGATGTGCTGCCCTCCAGTGGCAACTGTTTCTAGCGGCTAACCCCATTATATTTATACCTAAATGCTATTTAACCGAACGATGTTCATTTTAGGACAAATTTATCCATAATATAACTGAAACTATATGTCGTTTATAAGATATTACAATCATTTTGCTTTTAAATTAATAAATAAGAAACACCCTCGGTCTGTAGCCCTTGGCTGAAAAGTCGTTTTGCGCAACTTTTCAGATCGTGCGCTTTGAGTGGCGCCACCGTCGTTGTAATCAAACGGTAGTCGGTAGTTTTAAAACATTTTTTTTAAATATTTATAATGGTGATTGAGCCATGAAACTTTTTATATAGCGTAATTTTAACCTAAATTAAGTGAAAATAACCCTAGAACCTAGAGTAAAGGATCCCTTTAAATGTTCAGATACCTAAATTTTGGTTGTTGCTTAGATGTTAGACGTGAAACTGATGCAACCAATCCAATACATGTGGTAATTTGTGTTTGAATCTGTTAGTTGTTTTTATCTGTTTTGTCACAACAAAGTAAACTGTCTTTTGATCGACAAATGCTACCAGTTATCCAGCAGGGAACTGGTGTGATAGTGAATGTGTGATATCTAAATGTCTGGTATGAGCACGTAGTTGAGTGTGTGTAACATCTGTGCAGGCATCATCGCTCCTGTCATGGCAGTGCTGATCCACCAGAGTCTGGCGGCAAGACTGGCCGCGGCCTGGAGTCTGAGGAGCATCGCCGTAGCATTGCCCTTGCAACTCTGCCTTCTCATCGACAGGTAGGAAATGCAGGGGTGCTGCCACCTACAGTGGCGATTAGTTGTAGGCGTTTTTGCTCCGAGTTTTGCCGAACATTCACGGATTTCATGGCGGTGTTTCTGAGTGGCGAGCAAATGTATGTTGAGTTATGAAATGCATTGTTGGTTTACGTATACATTGAACAGGTCTACATAATAAATGTTGACTTAATACTTGTATACCTGTGTTGTCATGCACCTGTTATGTCTTTAATAATTTTAATAATAAATGTAATAATTTGTTAGCACTTAATGCAAACCTATAATTGATTCCGTGCTAAGAAAATCTCTTCATGCTGTGTTGGCAGGTGTGTGGAGAGGATGGAGAGCCTAAAGAGCTCACCGGAAGCAATCGGAGGCTACAGCTGCGCATTAGCAGCACTAATAGGAGGTGTTAGTCAGTGTCCACTTGGCATGCCACACAGCAAGAGTAAGGTAAGGTTATAGTCTGTGCGTCAACTTTATTACGAAAATCTACTATATGTATCGTTGAGTCGTTGTGAAGGAAACACACAGTTTTGTGGTCAAAAAAGAAAATCGGTGATCTTTTGAGGTCCACAAAAACTCCATGTTGTTTAAGCAACCAAGGAATAATTGTTTTGTTATATATGTAAAATCAGGAGTAAATAATACTAGGGTAGGGGAGTCTTTCACATATTTAGAGGAAGAGAATTCAACATACTAGCCAGAACCTACCTAGGATTTATTAGGAATTACACAATCAAATTAAACTCAAACGTTAACTTAAACATCCAATATTCCTTGGCTATAATTGTTTTTTCTATACATAATCACAATCCAGAGTGATAGATGGAGATATATGCAAGAATTGCAATAAAATTTTACCACTTTTGCAAAATAACTGCTAATGTCAGTTGTAAACAAATCAAATTTCAGTAACATCTCTCGGCAGATTGGCAGCCAATTTTGAGTACAGTACATTGTTTTAAATCACATTCTGAGTATTTTACTATTGTTATGTTTTACCATATCTGATACACTGTCATCCGCCATTCGTTCAAACAATTTTGAGCGATCGTCGCAACCATTATTTTTGTTGGCTTTTTTTTAAAGAAATATAGGATTTTATTTCATGCTACTTGACATGATCTGCACTAATTACAATGCAGTATTTTTATGGCCACGTAACAAAACCCATTGTTACAGTGAATATGGAAATTAATGTTATGGCGAATGACAATGTCTGTTTGACTAAAAAATAAGGATAACTCAGCTAACTCAGGATTATCGATGTTTTTATACGCTATGCTTGATCAGCCTCCACTTACATTACAGCAAATATTTGGAATGGCGGAAGATCTGCTAAGGATTGCATCTCAGAACAGCCGACTATCTCTTCATAGAACCCAGGCTGGCTGGCTCCTGCTTGGTGCTCTCATGACATTAGGTATCTATTCTGGAAGGTACCTTTATACGGTTTCCCCTACTTCAAGAACCAATCAGTATTTTGCTAGGCACACAGTCACTTGGTCGAATAGAAAGTTCGTCGATAGTTGGTCGAAGGGCACAGCGAACGGATCTGTAATATACTTTGTTGCTAAGCATTTTATCAAGAGCGGATAATACCTAGAGTGTACAACGGAAAAAC